CAGGCAACAAGAGAAGTCAGCTAGTGTGAGCCCCTGAGGCAGGCTTCTGCCATTTCCTGTGCGTTTGCAAACCACACGAGGAGCAGGATACAGCCCAGACCCAGGCTGGTCCTCCTAGCACGACATGCTCAGCTCGGTACCTTCTGTCGCTGTGTGTCATGAATGGAAGAAATGCACTCTCACAGGGGACAGGAAGAAAGACAGCAAGACTGCCGTCCTGGCCTGCCTGTCTTCAGCTGTTCTTGGAGTCTTGATGGGTGGTTTCCAGCTGCCCACACCCACCCTCCTCTCTCGTCCTCCTGGGTCTTAGGAAAAGTGCACACCCCATGCACACACTGCTCCAGGCCAGCCAGGAATGGTGAGGGCCCTGAGTCTGACCACGTCCTCCAGAAAGAGCAAATTCTCAGAAAGACCCAGAGTTTTACATTGCTACACTACCCAAAGGCCAATGCATTCTCATCAAATTCCTGAAACTATGGAAGTTTGTCCCAATGCTTAAAAGAAGAAAGAAAAGCAGTCCGGTCCCCCCCACCCCACCGCTAGTGCATGTGGAACTGCACACACCCTGGGAGGCAGGGACTGCACTGCCTGGAGACCCTGCCCCAAACCCAGAGGACATCTCGTGCGCAGCCAGCAATGCCAGTCAGCAGCTCCTCAAGATGCCACTCCACCGACCATGGAGACAGAGGGAAGGGCTGCAGTGCAGAGGCTGGGGCCGCCTGATGAGGACATGCCCAGTCAGTGTGCGGGGCCAGGGGCACCAGTCGCGTTGGCCCATCGTCCCTGTGTTTCTGTGCCAACACTCGCTGCAGAGCCAGCTCCCATGGGTGCTTTTCAGAGGGGCTGATTAGGGAGTTCCCTCCTGGGAGATGGGAGGCCCACTGTAGGGGGTTCCCTGACGGCCCTACACTGAGGACACAGGTTTGTGAGACATGTCCCAGCCTTTGTCCGGCCATGCAGCAGGATGCCATGAGGTCCTGGGCAGCCCCGGGCTGCTGCACCTCCATTTTCCCATTGGGGCGATCCTAGTGACTCCTCCCACACTGATTCTGTCCTGCAAGTCTGGGCCTTGCCATGTGATGGAAGGGACACCAGCCCAGGTCACCTGGCCTGCCCAATACTGAGGTCAGCACAGGGGTCGCAAAGAGCGTGGTCTCAGGAGCAGGCTGAGGAGGAAGGCCTCTTGGGCTGTGGGTTCCAGCCCCATGAAGGTCCCGCGTACTTGCCCTCCCCTCTGCTCCCTTCTCCTTCTTCCTGTCTGAGGGGTGTGGAGTCACACACCCTGCACAGGCGTCACTGGGTTACCAGCTTTCGTCATTTGGGTGTTTGTCGAGCACAGGAAACAGGAGGCCAAATGTCTCTGTGGACACTCTCTAAGCCTCTTTCTCCTGGTGGCCCCGACAGTCCTCGCCAGTCCTGGCAGCAGGCTTGCCCAGCCGTGACGAGAGCGAGCACCCCTGCACAGCACCCCTGATTGCTGTGAGTGCTTTCCCTAGTCTCACGGGCCTCTTAAGCCTTTCTGAAATGCTGTTATCGAAACTGAAAAGCCCCCAATACACTCTGGGAAACAATGACCATGTTGTACCCCAAAGCCACTAACGTGGATCTTTGCGAAGGCAGAGGGCTCAGCATGGGACAGTGCAGAACCCTCAGGCATACCCTGGACACAGTAGGCTCATCCTGGTGCATCTGCGACTTCGGCCTGAAGACAGGGAATCAGAACACAGCCAGATGTGGCGCACACCTACCACCCATCACTTCGCAAGGCTGAGGCAGGAAAACTGCACATTGGAGCCCAGCAAGGGTAACTTAGTGACTTGGACCCTGTCTCAATACCAGGGGGAGGGGCTAGGAATACAGAGCAGTGTGAAGACCGTAAGCTCAAGCCCCAGGGCCTTAAAATAAAATAAAACAAAGCACTCAGGTGTACAAAAAGAGCCTGCCGGCCAAGAGTTACTGAGCTGTGTTTTCACCGCATGTGAAAAAGCGTAGACATCACCTGAAGATACTCAACCTTAAATTTGGAAAACATAGACACATGCAGGTGCAAGAACTTTCTTCCGGGCCAGTGTCTATAGGACTGGAGGGGATTGGAACTGCATCAGCTTAGAACGGACAAGGACACTCGAGCAGCTGGGGAGCTGTGAGACGTGGCCGGTGCAAAGACAGACGAGTGTCCCAGCTTTGACTGAGGAGTGGAAACCTGCCCAGGAGTGGGTACCTGCTAGGTCATCAGAGGGCCACCTGGGGGGTCGGATGTTCCATGGTTAGGACCAAGATCTGCCTCTCTGTTTTCTGAGTATATCGGGGACCACTCAGATCTCACCATTTACATGGACGATGAAAGAGAGGTGTCAGTTTCTGATCCCTGGTTTAGATCCCCTAAGGAGATCTTCCTAGTGAGGGAGTGAGCCACTCTATGTGGTCATTTGGGCTTGACTCCAAATTTGGGGCTGAGATAGCTTAAGAATCTTAGCGCTGACGCTGGCAGATAGACAGACAGGTGTGTATGTATGTAGTTCAGTGATAGCATTGTGTTCCTTTTAGAGTAGTGGGCAATGTGAAACACGGTAAGAAACAGTAATCTCAAGAAGCGGTCCCTACCTCAAAGGGTTCAATTCCACTCTGACAGCTATTGTGAGTGTTTGAAGTAGTATTTATTCTAAGGTGTGTGTGCAAGGGGCAAGATACTCCTCTGGAATGTCTGCATGCCATTGGACTCCAGGCCAAGCCTGGGCAAAGGGTGATTTCAAGCCTGGTATCACGCACTCAGAGCCAGGCAGCAAGGGCTCTGGTGGTGGGCCAAGGGCAGGCGCAGTCCCCAGGCCCACAGCAGGGAGCAAAGCCTCCGCCTGCAGTCCTGCAGAGCAAAGCATGCACGCACAGCAGCTGAGAGCAGCCTGATCAGGCTGAGCCCCGCAGCCCCTTCCACGCTGCAGCCGCCCCATCCTTCCAGCCTGGATTCCAGCCTGGGCATGCTCCCTGCAGAGAGCCTCCCAGGCTGCAAATCGCTTGCCATCACCTGATCTACTTCCTTGGTAGGCCTTGTCTAGCCACAGTTTTGCTGGAAGAGACATGAAGAACTGGAAGAGCCTGAGTGACTCCGCATCACAAGAGCTGGCATCGTACCTCCCGGATGGCTCCACACTCGCCCTGGTGCTGGGCTGTGGGCTTGCATGCATGTGGCACCTCCTCCTCCTCCAGGGCAAGCTTTAGTCACATGTGCAGTCCACAAGGCAGTGAGCACAGCAGGACCAGGAGCATCGGCCCCGCCTCCTGCCTGGACTCAGACGCTCCAGCTGAGGCTGCTCTGCGTCCGGGCTGCCAGGATACCAGTGCATCTGGCCTGGCCTGCAGGCCGACAATTGAGGGCCTTTCCACACTTGGGCATGGCTGAGGAAAGAGAGCTAGCTCACAGCGAAAAGTGCATCTGGCGTCATACCTCTTCACTTTTACTGAATTTTTTAATTTGCCTCCATACCAGGTGATGTGGAAAATGAGAACAAACACTTGTTCTCCACCTCGGTGTAAACCGGCTGCATCACATCACCCTGGACCCTCCTTCCAGGAAATCAGGAAGTCGGCGGCATTCAGGAAACCAGTGGTATCTGAGTCCGTCTGTGCAGGAGGCTCTCTGCAGGGAGCGTGCCCAGTTACACAGAGCAGCAGGAAAGGGGAGGTTGGCTGTGGCTTACTGTGCGCTCGCTCGGCTGACCCTGCCTCGCCATCCAACATTCCGCCTTCCTGGGCTTGTTCAGATCACTGTAAAACACACCCTTTCTCATGGGTGTGTGGCCCAATGGCAGACAGTGACCATTAACTGAATCTTACAGGAGGCTTTGAGAAAAGATTTGGTGCGGGAGGCCCCTGTGGGCCCGGCACACTGCGGCATGTGGACAAGGTGTCAGATAGGCTACAGCCACCCTGTGGCTATGAAGAGACCCTGCCTGATCGCAGAGCCAACACACGGCGACATCAGGGCAGATCTGGAAGACTTGCAGCCTTGCCAAGATGTAGCCCCCACCAAGCCTGAGCTTGCAGCGCCTCTCGGCTTATAGGGATGGCGCGGTCCCTGCAGTGCACACCAATCTTCAGTCTCCTTCTCCTAGCCACAGTTTTGCTGGAAGAGACACAAAGAACTAAAAGAGCCTGAGTGGCTCCGCATCACGAGAGCTGACATCGCACCTCATAAACGGCCCCACACTCGCCCTGGTGCTTGAATCCAGCGCTCACCCAGGCTGACTCTGAAGGCTCTGCCCTTTACCATGCTCCCCTGCTTTCCAGGTGCCACATGCCCCATCCCCCCGGCCTCACCCGGGTCCAGCCTGCCAGGGCTGCGGACTCCTGCCTCCCACCCGGAACGCAGGTCTGTGGGCCCAGCTCAAGCAAGGCACCCACTGCTATGCTGTCTGCCGCTGCCACCTCAGCATCTGTCATCTCCCTGACTGAGGGCGGCAGTCAGCCCAAGACCTCTCTCTCACACGTGGCCTTGTGCTCTGTGGCAAGCATCCTCCCATTCCTGGTGGCCTGGTGTGGCCTGGGCTAGGGCACAGCGATGGTTCCACCACATAGAGAGCGGGAACATTCACCAAGTCTGCAGGGAGAATTCTCCTTCCTGTCAAGAGTAGCTTACTCTTTCCTACAGGCAAACCTGGGAAGGAGAGCCCGACCCACAGCTCCCTCCTGGGAGGATGCGGCATGGTCTGTGGAGGGAAATCGCGCAGTGTGGGAAGGGCCCGCTCTGTTCCCGTCCCTCCCGTTACAACGCGCTCATAGGCTCTTCGGGCACCACCAGAAGTGCTGCTCTCACCCCTGCCGATGCAGGGTGAGGACTCTGCCTGTGACCACCAGGCTCCACCTGGGTCTTCCCTGCGGACACACTTGCTGGGGACCCTTCAGCCTGCTGTGGAGATGCAGGCGAACAGGGCCTGTGCCGTGAGCGGATGCCTGACCTGCACGTACAGCAGCGAGCACAGGCCCAGCGGCAGAGGGGCTGGCACCAGGGAAGGCACAGAGAAGGCACACGCCCACCGTGCTGGCCACCCTTGCTACTACTAAACCCCGCACCACGCCCACCTCTTACGGAAGAGCAGTGGGGCGTCCAGGTCAGGCTCCCAAGGAACAGGTATCAGGGAGCCTGCATGCACTGCTTCCCTGAGCTCCGGGAGTCCTAGGGCGTCCAAGGCCACCCAGACCTGCTCTCCTCTCTACATACCTGGTGGTGATATTTGAAAATGGGAAGAAATAACTTAGGAAGTGTCAGAACATTCACGTCCAGGCACACTCTGTAGGAGGCCACCTGGGCTCCCGGTGCCCCAGCTTCCACCAGATGCACTCACTGTGGGGAGGCCACGCTCCCATGACATGGAGACGGGACCGACACGCCTGGAAGCGTGGTTTATATGCATCCCTGCTGCAGCACAATCAGCCTGGTGACCACCAGAGTCCCACTGTGCTCTGGTATGAGATACCGAAGTCACCTGCCCTTGAAGGCCACCCAGGCAGAGCATAGGGACTGGCTGACACCCTGGCATTCACACTGGGGCTAGACAGCATCCTGCGTGACAGGCGCCCTCTGGTCCTCACACACCCCCATACCCTCTCCCCCAGCTGGGCATTACCTGGTGGATGTGCCAGGGATGGGGCGCCCTGTGTCGACCAGCACACACCAGCAGTACCCTGTGGACGGGTGGCACTGCACCGGCTTGTAGAGGCCACCGTGGGCACACTCAGGGATCACTACATTGTCGTTCTTCGGCTGCTTGGCCTCCTCGAGCGCAGACTGGTGCTCCTGGTCGCAGGAGGATGCTGGAGGGCAAAGTGAAAGATGGTGAGTGGGCATGTGGCAAGGCTGGAATGGTGGGTGGGGCCTGGCAGGGGTGGCAGCCAAGCTGGGGACAGGGAGCCAAGGGACAGCAGGGGCTTCTCAGGTATGGAGACACTGCACTGCAGCGGGACCCTGTGCCATCTGTTTGTTAGTCCTGTGTGACCACGGGATGGACTCATGCTCTTCCTGAGCCCACAAGCACACTCTCACGTGGCACAAGCCACCCCTGGTACAAGGGTCCACAGTGCCTCCAGCACCCCACTTCTATGCCACAGCAGTACTGGTGGAGGTGGGAAGTGGCTCGAGGAGTGTCCAGAGAATGACCCTGCCCAGGGCCTCTGTACTGCCACTGTCCTGCCCACACCCCACCATGCCCCTCGGCAGCAGTTACCCCTTAGGGAGCCTGCAAAGACTCTGGCCTAGCGGGAGGCTCTGGCCTCTGACCTAGCAGAAGCGTTCTCAGTGGCCCACAACAGCCCGCTGTGCAGTGAGTCTACAGCTGCTACAGCAGTAGAAATCAGTGACAGTGGTAACCAGCATTCCCCGGAGTTCTGGTTCCCGGCAGCCAGAGGCATGAGTCAGTCCCCAAATTTATTAACACCAAAGAGAGCAAAGACGCCAAATGAAAGAAGGACAGTTAAGATGCCAGTGGTATGGATATGTGTGCGCAAGCCACCATCTGCCTGTACCAGAGCCTCGAATTCTCCTCTGTCCAGCCTTGTTCAATCTGTTCCCATTCATCCATGTGTGTGTGCACGTGCACGTGCACGTACACACACACACACACACACACACACACAC